TCGGTACATTGACACCTCCACTGCACGCCACCAGGAGACCCACTTGCGCCTGGATGCCCGCCACCTCATTGTTGAAAGCGGTCAGGTGGTCCGCTGCCATGAACGTTTTAAGGTCATACACAGCGGTGGAGACGGCAGAGTTGATCTCGCAGGCAAGGTACTCCTGGACCTTAATCAAATCCTGCAGCAACGAGAGGGACGGGGCAGGAGGCAACCAAATCACTTGGCAAGCACACGCACCCCGCAAGGGGCCCACCCTTCACACTGATGTATCTATCCATGCCGCCACTCCTGCGCCAAAGCGCCGACAGAGGGGGAGGAGCAGGACGAGCAGGAGAGGAGAGAAAGTTTGCCTTGTCAAGGTTGCAACGAGTCCAGGCGGGGCTCTCCTCTCGGTTGACGCCATTGTAGATGCCAAGCCTAATCTCGCCTGCAGTGACACGCAAGGCCAGGCATGAAGCGCAGCACCCCCTCCCGGTGTTGGCGGGGGACCAGAGCCTCTGCGTGGGTGACCTGGGGCTGACCATGATGGCAGCATGTGTGGGCGCAAGGCCCGGCGTTGATGCAGGCGTGCGCGCCTTGCACCCACCTAGGCCCGAGAACCACTCCAACCCGGTTGCGAAGCCGCCAAAAAACTTGGCGAGGGTATCGGCGGCGAGGAAAATGCCTTCAAATATCTGGAGCAACCGTTGGACAAGGCAAAGTGTTGGAGCAGCTGGCTGGTGTCATTGCCCGCACAGCGCGCCGGGGTACGGGGCGGGAGCCGGCGCTCACCTCGCCGATGGCACCCATGGCGTCGTTGTCGCTGGGCTTTTTACGGGGTTTCAACGCCTTTGCGTTGCACACATTGGTGCAGCAGTAGTTGTAATCGGTGCAAGGCCTGTCCAGCTGCTGCGCACTCGTGCTCAGGGCCAGCAGGAGCAGCAGCAGGCAGGGCCCCGCCATGCGCCTCATGGTGTGTGTGCCGGAGATGAGGGGGAAGGAGCTCGAGTTGAACAGGCGGGGATTTATCCAGAACAGGACAGCCCTAACTGGTACCTGGCTGGCAGTGCAGCTACTTCAGTGCTGAAAGTGCCGTGCGGACAAGCGGTGAAAGGGACGAGAAATGAAAGGAAACGGCACCGGGCTGCAGCCAGCTGGCGGCGGTCGGGACGCGGGTCCACGGCGGCAACGCCAAGGCAACCCGGCGCAGATGCTTTTGTGTGGGCTCACAGTCTGATTTCAACAAGAACAACACGCAAGCAGAGCAAGCGAATTCTGGGAAGAAGCAGTACAGCAACAGGACAGGGCGCCACAGGACGCGTCACGAGCGGTACTGCATGCATCTCCCTGCCATCCCTGCCAGGTATAGTGGGTACTGCAGGGTTGTGGAGGGTACCCACCGGTGGGCATGAAGGTGGGGATTCATGGCGAAGATGAAGGTGGCGGCCTGCCGACGCTGCCGGCAGGCGGCAGCACGGCGGCGACGCGGCACACGGTTTCTGGCGCATGCGGTGAGGACGCTGGGGCTCAACAAGCAGGGCGTGAAGGGGGCTGGGCATGTGGGGGCATCTGCAATTGATGCTGTTGTAGGACTGTGGGCAGACTCGCTGCTCTCTGAGTGCCGCATCCAGCGGCCAGCCTGGCAGAAGAGACTCTGCTCCTGTGCCCCAATTGCAATGTGACTTGGTGCGCAGCTGCGCCACCGCCTTGCGGTCCTGTCGCCGCCATACTACGTCCAGATAGGTCTTGCGTTACCCAAACCGCCCACCACGCCGGCACTTCCCTCACTGTTCACCACGCAGCACAGCCCACCGTCAGCCTGACCTCCTCCCACTCCTATCTCCCAGCCCGCCCCCACGCCTCCCCGCCCCTCCCCCTCCACTGTCCAGCCGATCACCGCCCTTCCCACTGTCCGCCTCCACCGTCGCCAATGCCGCCCAGCTCTGAGCTGGGCGTGAGTCACCGCCACCACGCCCACCCGTCGCCCTGACCCGCCTCTTGTCTGCCACGCACGCACGCCGAGCTGAGCGACACGCCGGCGGGAGACCAGCGGGCCGCGTGGGTGCACCCACCGGCTAGCTGTCCATTTCCACAGGACACCCTGCATTTTCAGCGTTCTGTGTTAATCTGAAAGTCAGAATGTTCTGGAGAAAAACCGAAGGAAGAGGCTAGTGCCCAACTGAGAGAAAACCATGTGACACAAAAGATGATGATCGTCAGTGCCGGGATAAGCCACGCACTGTGGCTGCGTACCGCTCCCGCAAACTGCCTGTTCGTCCTACAGGCTGGGGCTCGGGCAGCTCAGCACGGGCAGCTGCAATGGACGTGAGGCGGTTGCCTGGTGCCAAGGCAGAGGTTTGCGACGGATGCTGCTCCAAAGCTGCTACCCGCCCGTTTTGCGGTGCAATGTTGCAAGCTGCACTGCTGCCAACAACATGCTCCTGCCTCACAGGGGCAGCAAACCGCTGGTGCATGGCTCCTGGGAGGGCATGGGCGCTGCTGGGGAGGGCCCAATGGCTCACATGGATCCCATCCGCATGCAGCTGGGATGGCCGAGGCGACGGTGGTCTGCGGCGGGTGCCAGGCAGCATGCCATGCTGCTGCGCCCAGCGGCCCACAGGCTGCAGCATTGGAGGCCTGGACCATTCATGCGGTGACGAAGGGGGGCGCTGCTGCTGGGCAGAGAGCGTTGTGTCCCGAGCTGGTGGTGGCGGCTGCAGCTGCATGGAGACGGGGTGCCGAGGTCCTGGCGCTTGTTTGGCCCTTGCACCCGCTGCTCCCAGCCCCCCAGGCCTAGGTGCAGGCAGTGCAAGCTCCTTCAAGTCGGGCGTCCCCGACCGTTCCCACTCCGCTATAGCCGCCGCCAAGTCAGGCGTCGCTGACCGCTCACGCTCCTCTGCCGCTGCCTCCAGCAGGTCTGGAGTGCCTGCAAGCGAATAATGGAGGGCATAAGCCTAGTGAGCACCTGCTACTGCCATAAAGGAGCCAGACACACGTCCTGCTGCAGCTGCAGCGCCTCCTTCCCCAAATACACACACCCAAAACAGGGCGACAGCTCACCGCTGCGCTGCTGTGCTGCCTCCATTGCCTCTGCAGCCGCCAGCTGGGGCGTGCCGCTGCCATTGAGAGGAGTGCGTTGCGACTGCCGCAGCGACTCTGCTAAGCCGCAGCTGGTGCCCTCAAATGTTGGCATGGCCAGCGGGGCTCCAGCTGGAGAAGGTGCTGCCGAGTGCGTGATGGCGCCGGCAACCGACGGCGCCGGCTGCAAGGTTGCTTCAGGCCACCCTTCTGTTGCACCTGGTGGCAACGAATGCAAGACGTGGCTAGGGCTTGAGCGCTCCCGGACCCTGTCCCTGCTGCAGGACCTGCTCCGGCTGGACAAAATGGAATGCCGCCTATGCCTGCTCCTGCTGCGTCGCTCCTGCAGTTGGCTTCTGCTCTTGCGTTGCCTGCTCCTGCTGCGGCTGCTCCTGCTGCGCCTGCTCCTGCTACGGCTGCTCCTGCTCTTGCGGTGCCTGCTCCTGCTCCTGCTGCGCCTGCTCCTGCTGCGCCTGCTCCTGCTCCTGCGGCGATTGCTTTTGGGTGGTGACAGCGGCGAACGAGCCCGCTGCCGCCCCTGTCTGCCAGCTGGTCCCTTTGCCCTTGCCTCTGTCGCAGTGATGCGTGGTATGTGGACCGCCTTGGGCCCTGGCGATGTCGCGCACCCCTCCTCGGTTGCAGCTGGTGCTGCGACTGGTGCCTCCAATGGGAGTGCTGGGCTGCCCTGCTGCATGCCGTGCTGCCGCGCAGGGACTGTTCCAAAATCTGCGGCACCAGTGCAATGCTGTTGAGTGTTCTGCCGCTGGGACTGCGCAGCATGCACAGCCATGGGAGCCAGAACTTCAGCGGGCGCTCTGATGGCATGGCTAGTGCCGCGCAGATCGCCGCCATCGCCGCCTGATGCGGCCACGCCCGAGGCCGCCGTGCCCTGCTGGCCACTGGTGATGAGGGAGGCAGGCTTCTGCCCCGCCTCCATCAGACGTGCCTGCTCCGCCTCATACATTGCCCGCAGCTGCTGTTGCTCCGCCTGCAGTCAGCCAAACATTAAGGCAGAGCAATAACCCCAATATGCACAGATAAACTGTGACTGGATCCATGCAATGAGCCCAGAACTGGCCGCAAGTGGCCGCATGCCCTCATGGCCCTCCTCGCCAACTAACCTCGCTCATACGGCAGCGCTGCTTCTCCTTGGCGATGTTCTGCCAATAGCTCCGGCCATAGTCCAATAGGAACTCCTCCCCTGGCTCAACATCTCGTGTTGTAATGACAAACAGGTGAGGCTACAGGGCAGGGATACACAACACAGGCAGGCCTCCTGCATGACTGGGAGCGCCAAACAGACCTCTGAATGCAGCTGGACAACATGTGTAGCTGACGAGTTGCAAAGCGCAGCACGCAAAGCGGCGGCCAGCACGACATTTGACCAGCTTAATCCCGACTCACCCAACCGAACACCAGCGCCTCCACAAACAAGCAATTGGCACCTCCCTGGAGGTGCGACAGCTGGCGGACGCCGCGCTTCAGCTCGATCAAAGGGTCGAGGGACACGTCACTGCAGAAGAGGTGTCGGCAGGAGTGTGTAGGCACAAACAAATCCCTCACAGAAAGGAGCACGGGCAGTGGCGCGGACGTGCACTGTCCATACACAGCACCTGCCGTCCTCACTTGATCAATGCAGTTTCATTGCCGAAGCCCCACGCAGAATATGTGAATTGAAAGTCCTCATGGAGCTGCGAGGCATTGGGGGAGAAGACAGCAAGGGGTGATTGCGAGCACCTATAACAGCCACAGCACTGGCGGCAGGAGCTCACATCAAACTCCGCCAGCAGCGGCTCGGCCAGGCGTGTTTTCTTGGTGAAAAAACCATCACCCACGCTGCTGTCAGCTGCGAAAGCCTCGCAGCATAAGGACAGCTGCAGACAGCGGCGGTGCCAGAAATGCACGAGGGCAGGGAAAGCATGCTGAATTCTTGGATTCAGGTGCTGAGCAGGCAGACAATCACAAGCCCAACGTGGAGCTGCATGCCGCGTCCCCCTGCTGTCACTCCGCATGCGCCCTCACCTGTGATCCCGTCAGCTGCATGTCCGCCGCCAGCTCGGGGTCGGCAATCATGTCCATGTACTCCGGTTGGAGCAACTGAGGAAGCACGAGGAGCCGCAAGCAAGCATAAAGAACTGGTGAACACCAAGGCAGATGCAGCCTGTGGCCAAGGGAAAAGGGGTGAGCCCCCTGCCTCTCCCTGCGGGGCGTCCTGCCATCCATGGCACTGGGGCTCACCTGCAGGCTCTGATAGGCGCCCAGAACAGTGTCTTTTGGCACGCGGCCCCTCTTGCCGCTATGCTGGCCTGTCGCTCTGTTACGCCACCCCAGTGCACCTGCAAACGGCAGATGGGACATACAGGGGCCAGATGGGCTGCTCAACAACCTGCGATGCCACCAGAGCCAACCATGTAGTAGCACTCCTGCCCACATCTGGTGTGCCAGCATCAGATTCCAGCCTGCATCGTTTGACCGCCTACCCACCCGGGTCAGCCGCGAGCGCACAACGCAGGTCGTCCGCCGGAATCGCAAAGCGCTCCCCGCAGTTGGCCACAGGCAGCATCTGTGGGAGCTGGTCGGGCGAACGCAGTGCGCCCTTGGTGCCCATGTTCCTGCAGGAACGGCACTTTATAACACGTTACCACAACGTGCCATGCACAATGAGCTCAGTTCTTGATAGTACTGGCCCGAGATCGGGTAACAGTCTGGTTCCACCCACTTCCTGATGTAGGTCTCTATCTTCCGGGAGACATTTAAGTCCAACCCTGCCGCCACCGCCACGACCACTGCCGGGTAGTCTTTGGGACTCTCTGCATGGCACCCAGGCACGGTGAGGGCAACCAGGCCAGCCAGGCTGCTTCGCAAAACATGCAGGACAGCAGGTGCGCAGCAGCCATTGATACAGCACCATCCAGGCTGGACTGTCTGCAACGCCAGTAAGGGATGTGTAAGCCCTGCACCCGTGCAAAATGCCTCGCCCTGCCCATTCGCACGCCCTGCCCACCACACACGCACCTTCCATGCACTTGCTATAAGCCTTGGTGACACGTTGGTACGCCACGCGGTAGGGGATGACCGTATTCAGAACCTGGGTACAGCATGTACTGTGTTGGGAGCGTGTTGGGCAGCAGCCACGCCTAGATGAATCATGCACAAAATGCTCACCAGAAGGTCTTCAGTGCCCCGGGGCGGTGGTCCGTTGATGTCACCCTGCGTTACCCACTGGTGACCGGCAATCCGCCAGCTGGGCCTCTCAGGCAGCAAGCCATCTTCCTCGGGCATCAGCTGGGCATCCTCTGCCCCCTCTGGCAACCTGCCACCGCTGATGGCCGGTGGTGTAACATCAGCCTCCTCTTGCTGCACAGCGTCATCCTGCTCCTCCCCCTCGTCGCTGCTCTCCAGGATGTACAGCGTGCCATCCCGCTCCTCCCAGCCCAGGTGGGTGGCTGCCGCCGCTGCCGCCTGCTGCGTCACCATCTGCTGCCCGTGGGCTGCCTGCCAAGCATCCGCAGCAGCCGGCTCGTGATTATCCCACCCTCCGCACCCCTCAAACCACAGACCCTGAGGCTCAACCAGCGGATCCCCAATCCTGCACGACAGCCGAGCACGGATGGGAGAGTTCCTGATGCAGCATGTGCTGCAGGCACCTGACGTACCTGTCTGCGTGTTCCCGACAGGCCGCCTCGATGACGCTTGCCGAGAAGACTACATCCCCGCTGGCCTGCGCAGAATGCCGTGCGCAGGGCAGGTGCCAGATGCATTTGCACTCTGCGATGCCAGTGCAGCCGAGGGTGGCGCCAGGCTGGCCGCACTGGAAGCAGATGGTGCGCGCGCCGCGAGTGGCCTCCGTTGCAACCTTCGCAGCCGGTATCTCGCTGCAAGTAAATGGACTACGTTGTTTGTGGCAGCATAGCAGCGCCAAGCTGGCCCCAACACAACAACGCATGCCCGCCGTGCACCCGGTCTCATTTACCCGTGCCGGTATGGCTCGCGTGGCTGGTTCCGGCCCGCTTGTTTTTGCCCAAACGAGATGCCCCCACTGTACCCTGCGCAGGCCTCGTGGTAAAGCAGCGAGCCGCGGAAGGTTGCAGACTGCACAAGCGCCGCCAAGTCGCCCGGCACTGTAGGGTCGCTGGGGCGCTGGCAGAAGCAGCAGACATCGGCACCGGACTGCGCTCGAACTCCTGGGCGTACACCATTTCCCTCAGGCCCTTGTGCTTCTGCAGAAGGATGGAAAGGTTGGTGGCGAGGGGGTGGGTGATGGGGCAGGGCCTTGCCGCCACCGCCGCCGCCGCCGCTGGCAGCTGCTTTGTGACTTGAATGAGAGCGCGGCTGCGAGTCCCCACCGCGTATATGCTGTGCCCCTGCAGCCCTTTCCTGCTGCTGCCTGGAGCCTCCAGACCAACTTGCTGCGTCCCACAATTTGTGTGCTCAGCGTCCCATCCGCCCCATCCGCACACTCACTTGCCGCCTTTTCCGCTGTCATGCCCGGAGAACCAGCAGGTTGCGGACTCCTGTGGACCTCCGGTGGGAAAACCCTCAGCATCCCATGTTGGCCGGCTTCTACTGGAGTAGCACTGATAGCTAATGAGGCGAGGACGTCAAGCTAACGCGGAAAGCCCATCTATATGCATCTTCGTGTTGACAGAACGCTGCATGAAAAAATGCAAACCACCAGCTGCCTGATCAGAATGCACATTACATGATCTGAAGTGCAGATATTGATGGCAGTGCTGGAACAAGAGGCACGATACACACGATACAGGGCGGTTGCTGGAGCGCAATGTGCGCTGCTGGACGCTGGGACCAGAGCTTGGCTGCAACTCAGCCTGCTGCAGCACTGTAGCGCCTATTTTGGCTAGATTTGGGTGTATTCAACTCTCTGGCACCCCAGCATAAAAAACAAGCCCCCAGCTTCAGAAGTAGTCCTGCAGCGGCACCTGCTCCAGCTCGCCCTTCGACATGTCCTTCAGCGCCTCCACGGTGGCCCTGGCTGCAGCGAGGGTGGTGATGATGGGCACCTTGTGCGCCAGAGCGGTGCGCCGCAGCTCTTTGCCGTCGCGCACATCACTCTCGTCTCCCGCCGTTGTGATGATCATCATTTGGATCTCGCCGTTCTTCAGCAGGTCCTCTGCACAGGCGGCAGCGGGTGTGTGCAGGTGATTTGGCTTGGGCCCACGGGCGAGGCAAAGGCAGCAACGATACGCCGAGCAGCGAGCTGCCTTGCGCAGAGGGGTTGGAGGAGGGCACCTGCATGGCAAATCATGGTTGGCTGCTGGCAGACCAGTGCATCCCAGCACACAGACACACCCACCTCCATTGGGGCGCCCCTCTGACACCTTGAGCACCGACTGCACGTTCTGCAGGCCCGCCTTGCGCAGGTAGGACGCAGTGTGGTAGGTGGCCATGATGCCAAAGCCAAGCTCCTGCAGCTCCTTGGCAATGGGCACAGCCGTCTCCTTGTACTTGTCCATCATCGTGATGAACACGTTGCCGGACTGCGGCAGCCGCTGGCCTGCGGCGATGGCAGCCTTGGCGTACGCCTTGCCAAAAGTGACATCGATGCCCATGACCTGTGGGCGAGAAGACGGTGTGTGTGTGTGTGTGTGTGTGTGTGTGTGACAGGCAGGGGAGCACACATTGAGGTGATGAATGCCAGAGGGCGAGGTAGGGCCCACCGGGCATAAGAGCATACAGTTCAGCACAGCTTCAGCCACCCACCACCATCACACACGTGAACCATACCCAGCTCACCTCTCCGGTGGACCGCATCTCGGGGCCCAGCAGCGTGTCCGCACCCGCAAACTTGTCAAAGGGAAGCACAGCCTCCTTGACAGCCACGTGCTTCAGCTTGGGCTCCTGCAGGTCATTCAGCATGCGCAACAGCAGCAAAACACGTGGGCGGGTGGAGCAGCACCAGCCAAGATGTTTCTACAGCTAAAGGCGGTGGACACAATCCCCCGGGTTACAAAGCTGCCTGCCCCGAGCACCCACCTCCGTGAAGCCAATGTCGGCCAGCTTCTTGCCCGACATGAGCAGCGAGGCGTAGGCGGCTAGCGGGTGGCCAATGGCCTTGGCCACGAACGGCACGGTGCGCGAGGCACGGGGGTTGGCCTCAATGATGTACACCTGCGGAGGAGGAGGGCAGGTAGCACGGAGCCAGTCGCAAAAAAACAAGAGTTCACAGAGCTGCACAATCCAGGCGCAGTCCTGCCCCACCCCAACCCCTTCTTACTACAAACAGCCACTTACCGTGTTGTCCTGCACCGCATACTGGATGTTGATCAGGCCCACCACCTTGAGCGCCTTCGCCAGCTTGGGGGTCCAGTCGCGGATGACGGCCAGGCACTCAGGCGAGATGGTCTGGGGTGGGATGGAGCAGGCTGAGTCGCCACTGTGCACCCCCGCCTGCTCAATATGCTGCACGATGGAGGTGAGGGCATGGGAGATGGAGGTGAGGGGATTGGGGCATTGATGGGCAGGTCAGAGCTGACAAGCAAGCTGCCCACCAGCAGCACACCCACCTGCATGATGCCGCAGATCACAACGTTGCCGTCCTTGTCTGCAAGGGGCGGTTGGATGGCAGGCGAGGCGTCACAAGCAGCTGGTCACAGGCACCGCTAAAAATCCGCAACGCACCGCAACGGCGAGCTGCAGCCCTATAGCATGTCTCCTTTGTGAAATCCTCCATGCCAGCTTGGGCATCGCCTGCGCCGCCTCCCGACACCCACCTGCCAGTGCATCCACATCCAGCTCGTCAGCGCGGTCCAGGTACTTGTCCACCAGCACAGGCCGGTCAGGGTCCACCTCGACTGCAGTGTTGATGTAGCGATGGATGTCCTGGTCGCTATACACAATCTCCATGGCGCGCCCGCCCAGCACATAGCTGGGGCGCACCATCACCGGGTAGCCCAGCTGCGGATGGGATGGGAGGGGCGCAGCGGGATGGTGGGGTGAGGAAGAGGAGGTCCGATGCTCACCAGCAGGCACGGCGGCCACCAGATGCCGCAGAAGTGAGGCGATGATGCTGATGGCGGTAGGACAGAGAAGGTGGTGAGGCCAGAAGGCAACACAGGCAAGAGTTTATCACCTCCTGCAGGCACTTACACTGTTGGCGATCTGCAGCGCCTGCTCCTCGTTGGTGGCCAAGCCGCCAGCTGGCTGCCGGATATCCAGCTTTGTCAGCAATGCCATCCAGCGGTCGCGGTCCTCAGCCTCGTCGATGGCATCCGGCTGTGTGCCCCAGATGCTCACATTCCCGTTGCCTGCAGGTTGGGAAACATATTGGCTAATCAGGCTATAATCGGGGCTCGAAGGGGGAGGCAGCTGCGCCACCTGGCCTGGCAGGCGCGACGCGCTGGCAAAGCTGTCCGTGGACGGGCCCATCGTGCAGCTCACGCATGTAAAGCCCGAGGTGCGTGCGCAGGCGCGAGCGCTGCAGACGGCACCCAGGCAAGCTGCGGCACCCTCAGCAAGCTGCGGCCTCCTCCTCTCGACTCCTCACACCCGACGGCACGCAAAACAAGTGCGCTGCCCAAATGCTTTGGCTGCAGGAACCAAGCTCCCCAAACTTGCATGCTGCTGTTTTGCAACATCAAGTTCGCTATGCGGCCTACGATCAAGCTCGCTGATGTACTACACCCTAATGTAAGCAGCAGCAGCTGCTGCAAAAGCACCACCCGCCCGCCTCTCCTCAGGGCTGCCGCAGGGATTCAGGCCGTCTTCCAGCCGCTGGCCCCTCCCCCAAACAGACAGATCAGGAGGCAACAGGAAAACCAGCAGGGCTGCCTTCTCACCGCTGGCAGCAGGGATGGGGTTCTCCTCGAGGGCCTGCTGCAGCGCGGTGGCCAGCTTGAGCGGCGTCTGGCCGCCAAACTGAACAATGATGCCCTCCGGACGCTCCTTCTCAACCACATTCAGCACATCCTCTACCTGCGTCGGGCACCGCCAGGATGTGCAGGCACGTGCGTGAACACCAGGACGCAACAGCACGCAGAGGGATGCACAGCTTTCAAGCAGCGTGCATTGGTACTGCCACATGGCACCTGCACAGCTGCCCACCCCCCACCGTGAGCGGCTCAAAGTAAAGGCGGGACGAGGTGTCGTAGTCCGTGGACACAGTCTCTGGGTTGGAGTTCATCATGATGGTCTCGTAGCCAGCGTCGCGCAGCGAGAAAGACGCGTGACAGCAGCAGTAGTCGAACTCAATGCCCTGGCCAATGCGGTTGGGCCCGCCGCCCAAGATGAGCACCTGTGCGCATCGGCGGGAACACATGCCTGGCTCACAAGCAAAACGCGACCAGGTAGGCAGGGGAGGCTGATGCTGCAGCAGCAACAGACCCACCTTGGGCTCTGCATCGCTCTCGCACTCGCACTCTCCATCGTATGAGGAGTACATGTAGGGCGTGCCTGCCTCAAATTCTGCCGCGCACGTGTCCACACGCTTCATGCTGGGTTCCACGCCAAGCGCCTTGCGCGTCATGCGCACTGCAGAAAGATGCAAGCGGGTGGCCCGGCGCAAGCAGGGAGGGGTGAAGCGCAGCCGAGATACAGCAGCTGCCACAGCACTGCCTGCAATCTGTTTGCACTGCACCACCTGCATGCACCTAGCAGCAGACCCCTTCATCCTGGTCAAGGTCGCCTCCAATCACATGCTCACACACCGGTCATCATGTCGGAGCCCAGCGCGCGTGCAATCTGGGAGTCGGAGAAACCGCGCTTCTTCAGCTGCAGCATGTCGACTGCGCTCAGCTCCTCCAGCTTCTTGGTCTTCAGCCAGGTCTCAACCTCGTGCAGCTCGCCCAGCTGCGGGGGAGCCAGGAGGCCGGGTGGGTGTGAGAAGGCAGAAAAGTTTGCCCGTTTAGTTCGGGCCCCCAGCCGCCCCACGCCCTACACACCTGTGCCAGAAACCAGGGGTCAATCTTGGTGTACTCAAAGATGTCGTCCAGCGTCTCGCCATCCTCCAGCGCCTGCTTGATGGCAACCATGCGCTCCGGATTGGGCACGCGCATGTTGTAGATCAGCTTGTCGTGCGGCAGACGCTTGTAGCCACGCGGCAGCGACCAGCCATCCAAACCAGTCTCCAGGGAGCGCATCGCCTTCTGGAACGACTCCTGGAAGGTGCGCCCGATTGCCATCGCCTCGCCCACGCTCTCA